TGTCAGCATACAATATTCTGGTAGTTTTTTTTTTTTTTAGTTTTTTCACTTATTAAATTTAATCAGTTTAAAATTCAAATTAGAATTAACTGTTAAATTACTATTTTACATTTTGTATTAATTGTCACTTTTCTATACAATTCTACTTGTTACTTTGCATTCATAGCATAAACCTATACCTTTCTGTATATATTTTTTTTCTGATTTTTTAATGTACTTATAGGAAATAATGCCGTAATTGTTCTGATCTTTGATCTGAATAATGAACAATCATTCAAATACTTAGCTGCTGGTAGATGTTCTCAGATTACTCAGCTGGACTGATGTGAATGATATACAAACACGTGAAACACTTATTGTGGTTGTCAGATCAAGAACTTTGAGTTTTTGATGAATCATTTTCATAGAAACATAGTTAACGTTTAAGCATTTAGTCTTTTATATATATCATGAATTTGAATGTACAATTGAATTCAAGTATTTTATGCTTAGTTGTTTTTAGTATTATGGCTGATGTATTTTCATGTCACTTACATGCACACATTTATATAGGCACCTCTACTGAATTTTCGAAACCTAAGGTTTAAAATGGAATTTTCAAAAATGAAAAAGCATTCATTTTAGCTTTAATTGAAAACTAAATGATTAAATTTACTATTTACAGTAAGCAAAATACTGTGGTGTATTTCATACAGAAATTATATTGGTTTGAATTTCAATTTTTTTGGCTGCTTTCACAAAATCGGCCATTTTTGACATATTTGTAAATAAAAGTTAATTCTCGGTTTTAAAAACCTTCCAAAATTAAAATATACTTTTCTGAAACTTTATTTGAGGAATATTAGCTGATTTAAAGTATGAGCTGATTTAAAAGAAAATATTATTTACTTTAAATTTAAAATAACAGAGAAATGGATTTTTAAAACAAACAGTAGCAGTGATTATGTGCTTATCATTGCCGCTTATCACTCATCGATCACTTGACAAGTGATGATAAAATCTGACAACACCTTTACTGTTGTTCTACAGAGAATTTACCTGTTAGAACATAATCTAAGAAAATGTCAGGTAAGCACTGTTTTAAGTACTCAGGAATCTTAAGAATGTTGGAAAATATTCTCCATAGTTTAATTTTAGGAATGTTGAATTTAAATTTACTATAGTAATCACTCTTATTTTCTGATTGTCATATATGATTGACCAGAATTTCAAATAGGGGCAAGTTATGTAATACTTTATATACATAAAAAAATTAAAAAAAAATATTGGGTGTAAACAACTTTTATTGAGCTTTTCAATTTTTTATTCTTAAATATAGTTTTTACTTAATAACAATATCACTTAAATGGATTGAAGTAATGCAGAATTTTAAATGATTTATATTATAAATTATTATAATTAAAATTTTTAAAAATGAAAACAATTCTTGTAAAAATTCATTATTCATTGAAAAAAATTTTTTACTTAAGATAATAGCATCCTTAAATCTTATTTCTAAAAGCAATTGAAAGCTTTTCTAATTAAATAATGTCCTAGTTTTATTTCATTTTTTTATTTTCAGGAAATGAGTAGTTGTTTAAAAAAAAAAAATATTGATAATTTACATTTTCCAAGTAGTCCTGCTTTTAACTAATAAAACAAATTTTGAGATTGCAATTTAATTTCTCAAAATTTCATAATATATCTAAAAAAAAAAAAAAAAAATTACCAAGATTTTCTAAATAAAAAAAAAAAAAAAATTTCAAAAATTCATTTGTGAATAAGTTCTGAATGTTTCATTAAAATCCAATAATTATTTGATTTTTGCAAGAATTTCCAAATCCGTGTTTTTCACTGGAAAAAAGTGCAAAAACACTAATCGTAAATTAATGTCGACTGCATGTGAAAAAAAAAAAATTAACCAAAAATTTTGAACATGCTAGAAAGGATTAAATAATAAGAATATTAAACACCAGTCTATCATACTATCTATTATGCAAATACAAATGTCTTACATAATTAACATACAGAAATGCATTAGTGTCATATACAGACTCTTTGATTACTACAGCATTTTTAGTATATTAACCAAGTTTATAAATTAGTACAGGAAATTTGTTAGTTGTAACTTTTATTCACTCTTTGTTAGATAATCTTGTAAAACCATATTAAATTTAGAAATCACTTTCTTTTCCTTCCTATTTATTTTTTTCTACATCTCTCAAGCAGGAAAACGATAAGGTTCTTTTTGCATTAAATTTTATTTATATTAAGCTCTGGAATTATGTAGAATTCCAGTAATTTCAATTGTGTGTGGAGCTTTTCATGTGCACTTTATAATTAGAACAGTTTCTAAGTAACTCCTTATGGAATATACCTTCAATTTGCAGGAAAATGATTTTATATTTTTCTTGTAGTTTACATATAATTTAATTGTTTATAAGTTTTTTATTTTTTATTTTAGGTCAAATCAACAGTATCATATATATTTTACCTGACTTTAATGCAAAAAAAAAAAAAAAAATAGAGATTGACTTGATTGTATTTTTACAAGATCAAGCATGTAAGAAATTTAATCTATTAAAAGATTAAATTTGATAACTAAATTTTTCCATAGTAATAAATATGTGGTTAGGAAGTTACCAATTTATTACCAGCTGTAGTGTCCTGGTTTAAAAACTAATAAGTTTAAAAGGTTTGTTTTTGGCATTAGTTCTTAAAGCTGTGAAAGTGTCTGACTATAATAATAATGTTAATTTTCATTTTGTAATAAATAAAGATGAAGTATAAAATTGTATTTGTTCTCCAATATTAATTTACAAATCTTAAATTTATGAAAATATTTAATATATATCAGGCCCGACTCCAAGGGTTGGGCTGAGTGAGTCAACGTTCAAGTATGTTTATTCCAAAGCAACAAAAATTTTTCATGGTGTGTTGGTTTCATGCTTGACTTTCATGCTGGATCCAAAATTGTTTCAACTCTGTGCCTCAAAACATTGACTGAAATACATTTCGTTGATATTGTTCATGACAAAAAAAAGAAAGAATGAAATAAAATTAACGCGGCTAGTTGGGCTAGTTAGATCTGAGCCCTATCAATCAGAGACATGTTTAATAGGTAATGTATTTCTTGCTTTAATTTTATAAATAATCTTTTAAAAATATTTAATGACTTGTATCCCCTGTTTTTCAAAGAACACATTTTTATTTCAACTTATTGTTTTCAAATATCCATTTTAAATAATTTATTCCATACAGTATAAAGACTTTTAGCAGAATGTATCAATTGAAAAAAAGGGCAAATTAAATTTAGCCCAATTTAAAGTTGGCCTTAACTCAATTGGGGGGTTGGCATGAGGAGTGTAACTGGAGTAGTGTTGAGGAAATATATCAATCGGCAGTACTGATCATAAACGTACAATAAATTAAACTAAAAATCAACAGACAGAGAGATACAAAAATGCACTAATTAGGTTTATGTACGTGCCCACAGATACGCATACATACTGACCCACACACAATGTTCTTGTCTTAAAAAAAAAAAGATACCTCTATCCATACCCTTAGCCTCAGTGAGTGAAATATACATTTCTACTTTCTGATCCTATAACTATTCTTATATCTATCATCAGTGACTTTTGATAACCAGGCTAAAAAACAATAAAAAAATAGAAAGGTGGCAATAAACAGATAAACATATCAAAGACTTTGTCCTCATTTTTTTTTTTTTTTTTTTTTTTTTTTTTAGATGTTTGTAAAAATTTTTAAAAATAAATTTTTATAGAATTATTACAATTAATATTAAAATACCAAAATGTTTTTTTTAATTTTATTGTTGTAGTTTCACAGTGGAGGCTTGTATTTCACTAAGTCGGTCCTAAAATAGGTTTGATGTACAAAACGTTAGGAACTTGATATAATAGTTAATGACACAGCAATCTAGTTGTGGTGGCTGATACTTTAATATCTGACTAACGGTCATCCGGTATCGACTGACTGACCAACTCTCTGAGCGACTAGCGACTGCTACTACTCCTACTTATTATAGGTGGGAGAGTCTATTAACAATAGAATAGGTGTGTTCCACCATAACATTTATACACAGATTTTTAAAATTATATATTTTAGTTAGAGTAAAGAAATCATTTTAGTATCTAAATTATACCAATAGTATATTTTGTTAAAGATTGCATGTTGTGAAACAAGGTAGGCTTGATGTATGGAGGCCAGGTGTGTACACTTGGGCTAGGAACAAAAATCCCTTGAGTCACCGCAACTTGCCTGGCCAAGGACAGACACAACTGAGAGATGATAAATGTTACAAACCACTCCAAAGAGAGGTTTATATTTACTTGACCCCCCCCCACCCACACTCTGAGTCAGGTTATGGCACAAGGTTGGTTTTTAACGTGGTCATAGCTGGTCCGAAGCGAGTCCAAGCTAGTCATAGCTGTGATACTACCAGCTCAGGGACAGATCCCTAGGACCAGCAAGTATCAGAATGTGTATAGCACTCAAGAGAGATTTACACGGTATTTACTTGACCCCCCCCACACACACACACACTTGTGACACAAGGTCTGTTTTTAACGTGGGGACCCGAGTGTCTTCACTCGGCTGCTGGTCTTAGCTGGTCCAAGCTAGTCATAGCTGTGATGGATCCCTGTGATCGGTAAGGAGATTTACTTGACAACACACACACACACACTGAGTCAGGTTGTGACATAAGGTCAGTTTTTAACATGGGGACCCGAGTGTTTTTACTTGGGCTGCTGGTATAAGCTGGTCTAAGCTAGTCATAGCTGGTCTTGGCTTGTCATAGCTGGTCAGAGCCGGCCCAAGCTAGTTGTAGCCATGATACCACCAGCAGGTAAGTGAGATTGTTTCAAAGATTTCAAGTAGTGATTATATCTTTGCGAAGTGATAGCAAGTGAGTGAAGTCTGCTATATACTGGACAGACAAATTTTCTTTTCTAATACATACAATTTTTGTTAAGTTTGCATTTTTTGTTTTTCAGGTTTTCTGGAGAAAGAAATTAAGAAAGATGCCATTCCAATGTTAGATACTGGAGACAATCCTGATGCTCCAGTTCCTAGGGAAATGATTGATTTAGAGGTAAGACACCTAAGAAAATAATAAAAAAAAAATCTTTGTCATAAATTATGTTAATTTTTTTGATAAAAATATTTCTTGCAACAGTTGCTAATAAATATTTACTAATTTTAGTGATGCAAAGCCACAATTATAGTAGAGGAACCTGATAGAATCATTCATGTGCCATGACATGCAAGTCAACCATGTTTATTATTCTATGGCTGGAGCTCTGTAAATAATGTTTTTGAGATACTGAGTTTATCATCAAAGATGCTTTACTTTCTATTGTAATATTTTTATTGACAAAATCCAAGTTTATTATTGGAAACATTATTGAATACCAGAAGTTTCTTATTTTTATTTCTTTTTAACATGTATAAGAGAATTTTTTTTATAAGTTGTGGTAGTATGGGTTCAAATTATGGTTGAGAATAATTGTTTACTTTTCACTAATGTCCTTTAGGGAGGCATGACTCCACTTTTCCTGTGTGTTGTCTCATCACTAGATATGTTGATATGATTTCACTGACAAGCCATAATTAGAGAAGAGATTGTGTCTAAGCACTTGGGTAAACTACTCTCTCATAACTGCCTTACCTATTCAGCCAGCAGCTGCACAAAGCTGTTTCCGCCACAATTGACCTTGACAGTGACCAGGGCTAACTTAACAGAATTGTAAGCCCTAGACAAAGCTGTACACTAGGACCTCTACCCAGTCACCCACATGAATAAAAATGTAAATGAGAAATACAAGTAAACCTATAGATTTATTGGTACTGTAAGTCAGTGTCTTCTGGCTTGTAATAAATTTCCCTAATCCGTTTCCTTCAACCAACAGAATAGCATAATTCAAACAATTTTCTCCTGTTTGTTACAGCAGTCATCTGTTACCTCTTTAACCTTTATCACTCTGTATGTGACTTCATTTGCTGTACAAAAAGTTTATCCTTCACTGAAGGTGCCTCTGATCCCTGAACAATAGTGTTTGAATTTCATAGTTGTGTTTTCATACTATGCTATGGCAATATAAAACAACTTTGATTGAAATTAACAATAAGGATACTTGAGAGGCCTTGAAAAAAAATGCAGTGGAAAGGGAAGTAATATTAATAATGCAGCATGCTAAAGGCTAAGCACTTTTTATAGATTGAGTGACAGTTCAAATTTGCATATGTTAAGAGATTCTCATGAAAATCTATCTGACTCCAAGATGTATCTTTTTTAAATATATAATATAGTCATGTCCAATACTTCGCTAAAAATTATCATACCCTGATGAAAAAAAGGCCCCAAACTTGATTAAACAATTTTTTTATCATCTAAATGTTTATGTTACTATTAAGAGTAAAGACAAAGTATTTTCTGAATATTTTTTCATATTTTTTAATCCTTCCTATCATGTCCAAAATTTTATTTAAAAATCTTATTTTTATTTATTTTATTTTTTTTGATTCAACAAAATTATAATGAAATCAATCATATCAGCCATTTTTTTAGGTGTGAATTGACGTATGTTGATGTATTGACACCATAACATCAGGGGAATTTATCGGATGGTAGGACAGAAGTGGCAAAATTTGTCCTAATTTTAAGTAAACCTGGTTAGTAGAGTTAAGAAAAAGAAAAAAGTACGCTTTCAAAAATTTAATTTTTTTTTTTTTACTTTGAAGTTTGAAGAATGAATAATTCTGGAATAAAAATAACATTTAAAATATTAAAAATAAAATACATTTAGAATTCAAATTTTATAACAGAAGAAAGAGTAACCTAATTGTTACGTACACCTATTAAAAAAATTTTTTGGTATATTTTTATTAAGTTTTAAATTCTATTTAAAAAAAAGAAAATGATATTTGCAGTATGTCTCACTGAAAAAGAAAAAATTGATTATATTTAAAAATTGAAAAGAAAAATTTTAAAAATCAGATGGTTAGAAAACTTGGCATGCACTAACAATGAAAGTCAAGCAAGTTATGAGTCATATTACTTCCTATCAGCACACGTGACATTATTTCAGAATTGTGCTTCTGTAGTTTTGTTGGAGACGATTTTAATACATTTTTGCGAAAATTTAAAAAATTATTGTAAAAATATACTTGCATTGCAGATTTTACTAAGCTTTCATACTTAAGATTTGTAAAAAGTAGATCCTTTAATAAAAGCATTTCCATTTACTCAGGATTCAAACTTAATTTTAAAATACTTGTCAAATTTTTATCACATTATGTATTTAAAATTGAAAAAAAGGAAACAATTCTTGTAAAAATTCATATTTCATCAAAAAATATTTTGGCTTCAGATAAAAATGTCCTTAATATATATTATTCAGGAAAGACATTAAAAGCTTTTTTAATTAAATAATGTCTTAGTTTTATTGGGTTTTATATTTTTACAATTCAGAGCTAAAGTTTATGTAATATTGCACATCAATTTACAAAAAAAATTGATGATTTATATTCTTCAAAGTCTTGTGCATTTAATTAAAAAATAAAGACAGACTAACGGTGAGTTTTCCAAGTTTTCATAAAATTATGTAAGAGGGTGTAAAAGATGTAAAAAAAAAAAAAAAAAAAATTTTACTGTGACTTTCTAAAAAAAACAAACCTTTCTAATATTTCATTCATTTGTAAATAATTTCTGAAAGTTTCACTAAAATCCAACAATTATTTGATTTTTGCAAGAATTCCCAAATTAATGTTTTCCAACTGACAAAGGTGCTAAAAAGAAAACTAATGCTAAATATTACATGACTACTGACCTAAAAAAAAAAGAAAAAGATTTTCAACTTAAATTTCAGATGTGCTAGAAAGGAATAAAAAATTTAAAAAAGTAATTTAAAAATACTTTCGTCTTCCCTCTTATTAATAAAGCAAACTTATTCATGATAAAACTTTGTTTTTATTAAGTTTAGGACCTTTTTTGGTGCTGTTTATTTTTTTTGCGAAATGTTTGACAAGCCTAATATAATATGATATAAAAATAAATATATTGTAAAGTTGTCACTTTCTTTCTGGGAGTATTTTGTGCCTGAATCTATTTTTGTCCTGGAGGTAAGCCATCTTCTCTAGTGTTACTGGTACTTTCACCAGAATCTGTAAAAAAAAAAAAAAAAAAACATGTTGTAAAGGGAGGACTAATCAACACAAACTTTTGAACAACATAACATAAGCCTTAAAAAGCATAAACATTTCAACATATAAATGATAAGTAATTGGTACACTTTATAAACAGATGGTACAATATGAATTATCAATTATTGACAAATCTTTGTGAGATATCTTTGTATAGAATTGATCTATAATTTGCTTGATGTCAATGGTGGAAAGGATGTAATTTTCTATGCACATAAGTATAAGCCAATTCAAATGTTGCTGCCCCATTGTACTGCAAAGCTGTTATTTCATAAATTTCAATTTTGAATATATATATTCCCCTATACAGTTGACCACTGTCATGCACATGAACAATCTGAATACAGTTTTAGCATTGAGAAGAACAAATTTTAAGTTGTCTGAAATTATTTCCTGTACAATGCAGGGAGTCACGATTCTCATCAAGAACCATATTCATTTAGCTCAACATAATGATCTTCATGATAACATTAGTCATAAGTTCCCACTTTCTGTTTAGCTTATCAAAATCGGTTGTCTTCGGTTGACTGCAAAAGGAAAACATTTTTAATCCATGTGTGACGTTCAGCATATTTTGTTCAGAGACTCCAGCAGAAGGAGAAATGTTTCTATTTTTTTCATTTTTGTTTAGAAGTATCTCTTTGTCTCTTCCATCATATAAAGTAAGACATTCATTTTGTTTTTTCACATTGTTATAATCTGAATCTGGATACCTATTTTTGGATTCTTTTTTTTTTTTTTTTTTTTTTTTTAAACTAATGTTCACCTAATTTGAGGCCCAAGAACCACTCAAGGTAGAGGGTTACTGTGTGTTGTTATATGAGCATAAGAAAGACCAAAAAGTGAAGTCCTTGGGTGTCTATACAGGAAAGATGACTGCTAACTCTAGACTTGAAGTGGTCAAGATTTAATTAGTGAATAATATTTCAGAGTTCAGTTGGAGACGTTAGAAGTTTAATGTGAAAGTAGACTTTAGAAGGAACCAGATTCCTAATTCTAAGCAGGAAACAAGGGATAAATCTCTACTCTTGTTAAAAAAAAAAAAAAAAAAAAAAAAAAAAAAAATGGGGAGGAGTTTGAATTAGAGGATAGGTGAGCATATATACTCCTATTAAAATATACAAATAATGCAGTGTAAAAAAAAAAAAAAAAAAAAAAATTGTTATATATTCAGACACACAGCTGAACAGTATGTCCAAGCAAAATCCTTGTCATAGACATTGAGCAGATATGAAATTTTGAGAATCTGTAGCTAGAAGCACCTCACTCAAAAGCATCACTCAGCCCTGCTTGATCAGTAAAAGATTTGATGTGGTTGAGTTGGTTAAAGCAGGTTGGATCTAACAAGAGCATCCTCTGCCCTGGGGAAGGCAGGTATGAATTGTGCCAAAGATCATGTTTTTCTTTATTAAAATTTTTAAAATATTCAGGCTGATAGATGAAAATAAATAAATATACTGTTTAATAAATAAATGGAGCATCTACTCAAATATGAGTGCCCACTAAAATATAATGTTTAAAGTGATAAAATATGTCAGGTTAATAAATAAATAATCCATTACTTCTTAAAAAATTGCTTTGTTTACGTTAGGATATGAACCTAAACAGATATGAAATTTTGAGACTCTATGACTAGAAGGATTTCACTTAAAGGCACTATCAATGTCCATATTCACTAAATTTGTCTCTTAATTTCCTGAAAATGAATTTTCAAAAACCCAAGATTCATAGCAACATCTTTTTACAGCAGATCCTTCTCTTTTAGAATCTCACTTCAAAAGATTGTCAGAAGGATGGTTTCTATTTTTTTAATCAATCCTTTTGCCTTGTGTTCATTTCCTGGTCAGTGTTAGCTGATGTTATGGCTGTTTCTTGTCAAACAATATCATCCTTTCCTAATATCATCAGATAATATCAAACCACAATATCATCTTATTACTATATAAAACTATGGGAACTTTGTATCTTGTGTGTTTGCCAGAAGTCATATATAGAGAGTGGGGAAAAGAAAGATGTAAATTTATTATCATGTAGGAAGTGTGGGATGGAGCTGATTTTCTTACAAGAAAGTGTGTAAAACACATGAAATCCAGCCCCAAACAGGATATGCACAGCTGTCATCAAGGTCCATGCCACTCTCACTTGTGAACTTCATGACTGCATGCTAAAAGCGATAACTCTAACAAACTTCAAAGAGACTGCTTCAGACTATGGAAAAAATTCTATCTCTTGTATCCTCTTTATATTGAACCACATACACACGTGTTGACTTTTTCACACAAACATATATAACAACATTTCGTTATTTCTCACATACATATACGAAGAGAATTTATATTTTATTTCAGAATTTTATTAACCTAAACAAAAGATATACTTTCCAATCTATGACCAATTGCTTGTATTCTTGTCGTTATATTAATGTTCATTTGTTGAAACTACATTGTCTTTTCTACAGAATTTTATTCTTTCAATGAAAATTGTTTGATTATTCTAAATGGCTGAATTACACACATCCCCACAACAATATTTTATGTTATTGTATTGAATCCCAACACTCTGAATTTTGACATTCCAAGCTCTTATTGTTCAACTTTCTTCAAACAGGCAATTTTTTTTTAATGTTGAAAGCAACTTCAATAACTGCAGATAAATGTATTTTTAAAATATCTCTACTTTTACAAATTCTTCATGAAATTAAATGTAAACAGTAAATACAAGTTTGACCTAACGGGTCACAGGTGGTCTAGTCTTTTCCTAAAGATGATATCAGAATATTCTATCACTGGAAAAAGAAACAGATGTTGAATAAAGACAACATATTTTATAAACAGTTGACAACACATTGCTGTTTCCATTCCTACCATTCTGTGTCCAACTCAGGGAATACAAATGACACAATCCAGTATGATGCTGATTTATTTTCTTTTTTCTTTAATATACAATTTTAGAGAGAGTGGTCATATATACAGTATAAATGCAATATCAAAATGAAATTCCTGAGATTTGTATAGAAATTAATTTTATTGTAAGAAATCATTGTGTCATCTATAACAGGAATAACTTAGAAAATTCTGGTATAAGTAGTAGAACAGATTTTTTTCTTTTTTTTTTTTTTTTTTTTTTTTTTGTGACCTCGGAGATCAACCTCACATGACCTATACCACAATTGAAATGATTTGAACTAAGACTTAGAATTGCAAATAATTGAGAGAAAAGAAAGATTATGGTAAATAAAATACATTTAAGGAAACATACCAACCTTTCATATTTTAAACCTAGTTTATAGATATAATTTTTTTTTTCTTGCATCATTTAAAGATTTTATAAAATAAAGTGGTTAAGTGGCTGACTTAAAAATATTTTCAAAGTTTTCTTACAAAATACCTTTTGAAAATTTTTTTTTTTTGTCTAATCTCATGATAAGGCCTAAATTTATATTTGATTTTTTTTTCTATAATTCTACACAATTTGATAATATAATTCAAAATGAACAAATGTATTTGAGTAAATAAAATTCAACACTAAGGCAATGGTTCTAAGTGAGAAAAAATTAAAATAATGTCATTGTAGCACAAATCTGACAAAAAAATGGTGTAAATTAAATAAGAAATTTACATAAAAACTTACTTTTAAATGTCGAAAGGAATTTTAGCAAAGCCTCTATTGAAACTAAAATAACAGTTAAAAAGAGCAAGGAAAAAATATTGCTGAGAGATGTTTTTGAGATGTTCTCAAGGAGTATAATTAATGAAGATTGCCACATATATAGTGGTTTAGCGATTGGAACACCTAAGCTAAAAGATGAACTTCTTCAAAAGGGTTACTGTTAAACGAAATTAATTCTGCTTTCCTTGATCTTGTTAAATATCCACTTATAGCAATAAAATTTAAGGCCTCAAAAGTCTTGCTGTATAAACTATAATGACGTGATTCATTTGGCTCCAGATCAAGAGTTTAAAAACTCAATGTTAAAATCAAATAAACCAGTTTTATTTATTTGAAAATGCACCTGTGGCTAAGTATATAATTTCAGCTCTTTCCAGTGAGAGGTCTTGTAATTATCCACTCTGCTATGAGATCTGATATAATCAGTATGGTAGCATGGGTCTCCTACAATGGTGGGTGACTGTGACAACTACCCAGTATGCCTATGCCTTAAGACAGCACTGAGAGGAAGCAGGTAGTCTGTAAAATAATGATTGTAGTTAGTGTACACATTGGTTATGCATGTATGCTCTTTTAATGTTATAACTTTTGAAGGGGATATATAGCACATTCAGATACACACCATTCCTCTTAACATGGTCATTAAGCAGGCATAACTTTTTGCCCTTAAATATTATCTTTTTCTTGTATAGAAACATTGAATTGTAAACTTTATGTAAAACATCTCCAAACTGTAAGGAATATATATATATATATATATATAAAAACCTTGCAAGGTCCCACTAAAATATGCACAATTCTTAAATAGGATAAGTAAACTTTACTTTATTATGATGGTTTCTCATGGCCTAATTGGCAAAGGTTGACTTGGCTTAAAAGTGGTTTCCTTGAAGGAAAAAAGGAATACAGGTTCAATTCTGGTAGGAAGGAGGCTCATTTTCTTTAGGATTTCTATATCTCTAAAGTGGTTGACATTAATTTCATTGTTTAAAATACAGAGATGTTTACTCAGTCATGCATATTCAATCATGTATAATATTTATAGTAATATGAAATAATGTTTGATTAAAAAAATCAATTGTTTAAAAATTATTTTTTTTATTTTTGATAAAAATTTTCTGAGTAAAGATTAAAGTATAGTTTAATAAACCATTTTCATCTAAAATCCATGGTAGATGGTAGCAAATTACATTCTGTTAAAAATATCATTTTGAATATATTTTGTCTTCATTTCAGGCAACATTTGAAAAATTAGAAAATGAAATGAAGGAAGTAAATGCAAATGCTGAAGCATTGAAAAGAAATTTCCTTGAATTAACTGAATTGAAACACATTCTCCGCAAAACACAAAACTTCTTTGAAGAGGTAAACAAAATATCTTATTCTCATTTCATTTTATTTGTGATATTTCTTACAGCATTCTTTCTTTTTATTGATAACTTCTGTTTCTTTTGTGAATAGTTTTATTTATTGTGCTCTTTTTTTTAATTTGAAATTATTGCAATTAAATATGAATTCCTGACTAAACTCTTTCAATGCAATGGATACATTGTCAGTAACATAGCCTATTAAGCATACAAAAAGTGAACTTTTAAGTTTTTTTAAAAATACAATTATAATCATAAACTGAGCTGTTTGTGAATATTTTATCTTTATCATTTTTTCCCTTAATAAATTGGAAGTTTTAATTTTTTTTTTTACCATTATATTTTAATTTTACATGGGAATCTTTTCTATTTTTCCATTTGAATGATTTCAGTCTTAATTCTCTTAAGTCATGATACATTTATTTTTTAAATATTATTTTTTTGTTTTTAATATAAAAGTTGGAGTTAGGGAACATTTAATAAATACATTAAACATTTTTAGGCTGTTTTCATTGATACTTTAATAATAGCTAGTTATTGCTCAATTTGATTAAAAACTACATCTTGCAATATTAAATTTCATGTAATTACATTGGTTCTAATAGCAGAAAATGTTCCTGTTGTCATTTTCCACAACAGACTTTTCTGACACCAAATTGTAATGCTGAATTAAAATGATTATTATTTACAAAAAAAAAAAAATCAATAATTAACTAATTCTCTTCTACTATTAAGGCTTTTTTAATTTGTGTAAAAATACAAATTTAAACTGTTCATTAAATAATAATAAAGTTGTTATAAATTAAATATTTAGTGTTTTTAAATTGATATATCTGCATATGTTTTGGCATTTATCCCTTGCATTTTGGTTTTATACTTGTTTCAATGTCCATAGTTTGATGTATGATATGTTTGTTTTGTTTTTTGTTTTTTTTTTGTTTTTGACATTGCATAACTTTTTCCTTAAACAAAATGTAACTTTATAACTGGAAAAACTTTAAGAAAAAAATATGAGATTTTCTTTATCACTTACACTATCTTCTATAAATTAAATATTTCCAAATAGTTATGAAAATGTTTTTTGTTGGATTTAAGTTACTGTTGATATAAGTCTATTGGTTTATTATGAATAAGTCAGTGACTGTTGCAGTTGTGCAATTTATTACAGTATTTTCTGCTCTCATTTTGATATGATGGCTCTTTTAATAATTGATTCATCTCCTTAAAAGGGTTAATACAAGTTTGATTTAGTCAATCATGTAAATTTTGAATATCTCCTTTTGCCCTTGGCTTGGCATCCATCTTTCAGATCTGTAATGTCAATGTTACAAGCACATATGGTGATTGTTCAGGAGATAAAGGCTTCCTTTCTTGTAGTATATAAAAACAGACAAGTTTTTATTTTTAACTTAATTAATAATAAGTAAAAGAAGATAGTTTTAAGGAACTTATACGCACACAAAAGACTTGTTGATTTATTGTTTTTACATTGCTTTTCTTTCTCCACTAACTACGAATTAGCTGTTTATAATTTAAATGAAACCATTGATTTTGTTCAAAGATTTCTCTTGAAAGTTCTTACTAGACCTTTATTGTTACTATTAATTTATTAGTAACTTGTCAAAATAATCTTAAAATATTTAATCTTTGGTAAATTAATTTTTAGCAAACTTGATTTATTCACTCTTTATATTTAAGAAATATTTAGAAAGAAATATAAATTTTATTTCCTCTTGGTTTGCAGTGTGCAAATCTGTATCAAACATTAAACTAAAATTAACTAAATTCTTTTTCCTCCTTTCCATCATTAACTCTGGGGTAGGGATTTTTTTCCTGGCCAAATCAAGTGTTGCATGCAGCACAGCTTCATGCTAGATCTTATTTACTCAACACTGCAATATTTCATTTCTTTTATTAAAAATTTATTTCCTTCATCATAAAAAGTATTTTCTTCATATCAATTTAATTTTATTTCTATGCATTTTGATTTCTAATTTCAGTGCACTGCTATGATGCCTTTTTGTTTCCTCCATATTTTATGAAATATTTCTTAAACTAAAACTTACTCTTTTGCATTTTTCTTCAATAGTTGAATGCTTTTTCTGCTCACTTCTATCTTGACTGCATTTCTATCAAATGTGAAGATTTATCTTCATTTTTCCATATCCGTGCATACTATGAAGGCATTAGGAAAAAGATTTAATTATGAAAATAAAATCCTCCATTTATATAATTAAAATAAATAGGATTACTCTTGAAAATTTGATATTGTTGGAATATTTTATTAAAAATTCAAATCTTTATGTATAGTTTTCAAAGCAACACTTTTTTTAAATTAATAAATGAAGTAATAAATAACACCTGATAACTGAAATAGTGGAAAAGATAAGTTCTTTCACTTATGATGCATCATTGAATGTTTGATTGATAGGACAATCTTGTTTAGGTAAATCAATATTGAATTACTTTTGCATCAGATAAAACTAATAATATTAATGATTATCCTATAAATATTTTCAGTAAAAATTTGGTACATTTTAGCAAAAATGTCTACAGTTAGAGCTAGCTCTTGTAATCTAGCAACAGATATTTCCACACTAGTGAAAGACTAGTTCAGTTTCATTTCATATGTTTAATAAAATAAATATAGAGTTATTATTCAAGATGAATTTTACTACTTTTGACAAAGCCAGTTTTACATAACCATGCAAGTATTGTGGTGTAACAACAGTTAATTTGCAATTAAATTTAACATTTTATGGCTTTAACTGTAATAGAAATATTGGGAGAGTTTTTTTTAATATCATTAGCCAATTTTAAAATTATGAATAAATTATTGGAAGTTATATAAACACAAATATAATACCTATAATTATGATGTAAAAAAGGATTTTCATTTTAATATTTGTTAGATATAAGCCAAATGTTTTCATTAGATTCTATCATTTTTACCTTAGTTAAGAAATATTTCATATTTTAATATTTTTTTCTAATTTAAAAAAAATATTTTTTAACAAAAAAATCTTTCAGATTGCAGACTTGTTATTAGTTTTATGTTCCAGATATACAGTGGGAGAAACAAATATTTGTACACATACAAATTTTTGATTTATTGTATTTCAACTAATGAATAAACATACTTTTCATATAATTAACTGTACACTGATGCATAATAACTAAATATGCATTGAAAACAGAAAAAATTTTGATTTAATAGAAATAAATCCCATTTATCTATTTTAATTGGTGAAAAAGTATTCGTACAATGCAAATTTCTGATTTCAAAGCTTTTAAATTACTTTAATACTCTAGATTATTCAAGTGGAATATTCTAGAATATTCCAATGTTATCAATAGTTATTTTTAGCCTAAAAAATATGAACAGAACATTCTGTAACTGATATTCGCGCAAGAATGTTATCATCATGGCAAGAGGTAAAGAATTGGCAAATTCGCAAAAAGAACTGATTAAGCTCTGGAAAGAAGAGAAAAGTTACAGGAAAATCTCAGAAACCTGAATATTCCATTTACTACCATTAGTTCATTCATTGCAAGGTATAAAAAAACTCAACTGTTGAAAACTAAAGAAGAATTAGTACTCCACAAGATCTTTGTGGAAATTAATGCAGAAAATTAAACAAAATCCAATGGTTAATCGTCAAGAGTTGCAGGATGATTTGTCTTCATCAGGAATCTGTGTCACTAAACAGACAATAAACAATGAAATTCATAGGAACAATCTAAACTCACACTTCCTTCGGAAAATTCCACTGCTATTGAAAAGACAGAGATGCCAGGTTGAAATTCGTTCATATACATAAGGATAAGGGAAAATTGTATTGGGAAAGAGTATTATGGACAGACGAAACCAAAATTGAGTTGTTTGGACGTAATTCTTGAAATCGTGTATGGAGGAAAGATGGCAATGCCTTCAAACAAAAGAACACAGTTCCAACAGTGAAATGTGGTGTTGGCGGCAACATCATGTTTTGGGGATGTTTTTCTGCAAAAGGTACTGGTAGCATATCAGTAACAAATGGTAGAATGAATGCTGCAGCATATCAAAATATTTTTGAAGCAAATTTAATGATTTTGGTTGAAAATCTTGAACTTCCTTCTGATTGGATCTTCCAACAAGATAATGATCCCAAGCACACTGCAAAATCTATGAAGAAATGGCTTGCTGAAAATAATGTAAATATCCTGAAATGGCCAAGTCAGTCCTCAGATTTAAACCCAATCAAGAATCTGTGGCGTTATTTGAAAATTCAAATCCAATCAAGATCTCCAACAAACATCTTATGTAAAGAAGAATGGAACAAAATACCAACTAAAATTTGCAAATCATTAATTGAGAAATACAAGAAGAGGTTGTAGAAGTGAATAATGGCTATTCTACAAAGTATTAAATGAAGATTATGTATTCTTTTTTGTATTGTACAAATACTTTTTTCACCCATTAAAATGGATAAATGGGATTTATTTCTATTAAATCAAAAATTTTTGTGTTTTCTCTGCATATTTAGTTATTATGCATCTTTGTACAGTTAATTATATGAAAAGTATGTTTATTCATTAGTTGGAAATACAATAAATTAAAAATTTGTATGCGTACGAATATTTGTTTCCCCCACTGTATGCAAAACTCAGCTGATTATTTGTGTTGTTTTATAAACCACTTTTATAGTCTTCAAGCTATGTTTGAATTAAATATACCATTTTATTTTATTTTTTCTTCATTGTCACATGTGAGAATCACTTATTATTATTATTATTATTATCATCACTTAGCATTATTTGTAGAAATGATGTCTATTATTCTTTGTTACCTCAGCATGTACAAGCCCTCCTGGTGGTTGATATGAATTAACACTTATTATTATTGAAAGATTTTAAAATTTTATCTTGTCATTGTCACTAAACAATGTTGCCCCTCATAGATGAATGTGTTCTTTCTTTAGCTATTTAAGATTTGTGCATTTGACTGTAAACTTACCTAAGTATATCATCGTATTAAGATATAATAATTAAGTTATAATTAGCACATTTTGTTTGCATTTGATAAAATCTAATCTACAGTTAAACCAAGAATAGTAGTTTGATTGCTAACATTTGCAGATGGGCATCAAGAGACTTTTTATTCAAATTTTCATTTATTTTTCTTAAACTGTTTAGATAAATAAAATACTATCAAATTATCTGTGTAGCTGTGGATTTAAACACATATGGTTAGAGAATGAGTGCAGAAAATATACAAAAACAAAAAGAGGGATATGATGTAGATGCATTTTTTACCCTGAATACATTTAAACTACATGCAAGACAATCCTAGTGGAACTAGAAGACCTACCAGGATTTATTATCAGTGGACATGATCTTAAAGAACATGACACATGGTTGACACTGTGTTGATGCAGGCTCAGAAGGAAAATAAAAGAACTCTTAGATAAATTAGTAAAAGAAAGCAAGAAGCTGTAAGAAGGCAGAATGCATAAACAGTCTAAGGAAGTGTTTCTCAACTGGTGCACCTGGGCACACTAATGTGTCCTGAAAGGTAGCTACATGCACCTCAAGTTAACGGAAGAGCAATTTATTAATTATTTTTATATTTAAAAATCTTTATTTATAAAAAAGCTAGTGACACCAAGCACATAGCTTCCATGATTAAGTCAAGTCTTTGTCATTTGATATTGTAAACTGGACTTGATGTTAAATTCCTTAAAGTTTAATAAGGAGGAGATTCCTTTCTACTTTGCTTTCCTCAGGGCATAACATATAAGGCCTATCATTCAAAAGGTTATCAAGACACATCAAGCACATGTTTCACACAAGCATATTTAATTTAAATATATAATGTAATGTTTTTAGAAATAAATGCTAATTTCAGGAAACTTCTTTATTATTTTCCTATTTTCAAATTTCACAATTAATTTTTCCCCTGTTAAAACTGACAGTGTGCCCCAGAGTTTTAGTTATTCTACAAGAGTGCCTTGAAGTAAAAAAAAAAAAAAAAAAAAAAAAGTTAAACACTGGTCTAAAATGTGAGTTGCTATCTTTTGTGAAGATTAAAAATCAAGTAAGTGAATAAATTCAACTATCTAGGTCATATAGTAACCAGCCACAGAAAATGTGACACAGAAATACAAAAGTACATAAAATAACTTCCAGAAACTTATTAAGAGATAGGATAATGTTTAGAAACCAAGAGTAGTGCTGAACTGCTATTTATCTTATCTTCTCTATGACAGTGAATGCTGGACAATCTCCTCACAGATGAAGAGATTTGAAACAATGAATGAAGTTCTACTCATAAATGCTGAGAATAACATTAGCAGAACATATTAACATTGAGGAAGTTTTAAGGAAAGTAGGAACTACAAGGAAATTTATATTTACAATGATAAAGAGACAGTTGAAATTTCTAGGACACACAATTAGGAAGGAAGGCATGGAGTATTTAAAATTCACAGGACATGCAAGAGAAATGGAGGAAAATAGTAAGTAATACATTTAACGAGTTTTTTTTTTTTTTTTTTTTTTTGAATGGATAACAGAACCAAAACCAAGAGGAATGGTAAAGTGTCAAAAGTTACTTAAAGCAATAAAAGACAGGAAGTTGTGGAGAGCCATGATCACCCATGTCCTTTTGGGTCAGGGCACATAAAAATATATATACTAAACCATGAGGATACTGAAGCAATTCTAATTATCAATTAATAAAGATAAAAATTACAAAAAGGAAAATGCATTTAGACTGTGCCCTTATTCTAATTTCTTACATCAAGATTTATTTTAGGACTGTCAATGTCAATAATGTTTTGCATGGTGTGAGCATATAAACTTTTACACTTGAATATAATGGTTATAATGAGGACTCAAAAGATCAATATACAAGGAAATGATAAACAGTTCAGCCCACTACAAAAAATCTGATTCAGTTGCCAAAACATCCTTTTTTTTTTCTCCTTGAGGTTTATTGGTTGGGTCAAGAACATTTCAGTATCCCCAATACAATCTCTCTAGAAATTGAATTTTATTAGTTATTTAAAATTGTTGTTTGTTTTTAGCAGCATATTTTACATATGTATACCTGGATGAACATTCTTATTTTAATGAAGCATAAAATGTGTTTATTTGAATGATGACATCAGTTTTTTTAACTGAACTTATTTTTTTATTAAATAATTTATTTTTAATTTTTTCTAACTGTTGTTCTTTAAAAATCTGCAGTGATCTTAATTAATTTTCTTCAACAGCCTTATAAAAAAACAGTTGAAAAATTTACTTGCTTCATAAATTTTTTCAATTATTATGTAGTAGAAAATATTTATTTTGTGTATAATGCTAAAGAAATAATTATGAGACATTAATTAAGCAATTAATTCTTTGATAATTTTAATCAGATGACTAGCAATGACATAAAATTGCTGTTTCAAAACCAGTTAAATTTGATTAATCTATTTACATTAATTTGTATGATATTGAAACTTGAAAAAAAATTTATTCTGGTTCTACTCCCAAAATTTGGAATTTTTAAATAAGTTTTTATTTTTACATATATTTATTTACTTATCCAACATTTTTATCCTATGTTCATTTGATATTAATGTCTGTGAAAGGAAAAAAAATGTCTTCTGTAAAATTATTTAATTCTAGAACATTTACATATACATTTTCTTATTTTAATACCTTGATTTTTATTTTTTAAGATTATTTCTGTGAAAATTTTTCTAGTGAAAAAAAGATATAAAAAAAATTAACTTTTTTATTTTTTTTGTAGTAGTAGAAATTCCAAATTTTGAGGTGCAAAAATTGGAACACCTTAAATTGTTTGGAAATCTGAAAAAGCAAGGTTTAAAATTCATACTACTTTTCTCTTATGATTTTTCACTTCAGTGTTTAAATCAGGTAAGGTAAAAATATATACAATGGCAATTTTTTTTTGTTTTTACTGATAATCAGTTTGTTCTGTCATAAACAGGTGTTCTTAGCTGACTCAGTTTTTATCTTTCTCTGTTTTGATAGTTATGGAAAAAATGTAAACATGGAAAAAAATCACATGTGAAAACATTTGTTGGAAATATATATTTTTGTCTTTTATTTGATCAACATGATTTTTAAATTGCAAGCTGGTATTTTTATGCAGAATATTACAGATAGGTTGTTGGTCAGGATTTTAAGTATCATATAAATCCATCTTTGTTTTGTTATCTGTGTCAAATTATTCTGGTCTGCTATTTTTTTCTTCTGTCAACTACAAGACCTGATCATGTGCTTGTTAAAAAGAAATACTTGTGTAATTGCTAATGTAAATAATGCTTTAATAATATACACAGATAGGCAGTATTTGTCAGTTATCTCGGATAATATTTTTTTCTAAATAGGGGATTTTTATTTTAATCGATCTAATTTAAAACTGTTAAAACTAAAGGTGTTTTGTTAAATTGTATTAAGATCTTTAGAAACAGTAATTTCTAAGGTGCATTAGGATATTAACAGTAACAGCCTTTTATTCTTTGTATGTATATGAAAGTTAACTGCAAGACATACTTGCTTGCTGTAAACTTACCTATGCAAAAGCAAATGATTATTATCATGATCTTATTTTGTGCAAATGTTAATACATTTAATTGGTGAATGTAATAATTAATAAAGGAAAATATTTTTGTAATTCAATTACTTTGTTATTGAAATAATTCATGCCATATAATCCTTTTTTGCATTAAGATTTATTTAAGATCTCTATTAGAATATTTTGCAAATGCTGCACTTTTTTTCAGTTAAAACATATTCTTAACCAATTAAATATGTTTAAAATATTTATAAAAATAAAGGGAGTTTTGCTAAAATGACAATTTAGCATCAGTAATTAAATCTTACACTTTTTTTAAAATAACTCCATAGATGAATGTGTGTATTTAGAACAAAAATCCCCCCCCAAACTGTAAACTTTTTACCTGTTTCTCTTTGTTTATGAAACCCACAGCATTAATTTCCATCTTTTAATGAAAATGAAGTTGTCATTTGAATGGAGAGGGAATATTATTTGGATTGATTTATTTCAAGTGATGTATCTCCTGACCAGGTCTTGAAGTGATATGTATATTTTGTAGATGGTGTTAAATATATTTATGAATTATGCATGTGATTGGCTATATCAGCAATGATTTGACTGTTCCTTTATTGTTAATGTTGTTGTTATTGGTCTGCTGCATGCTCTCTTTGATTCCCTCCTCCCATCCCAAACACATCCACACTCACTGCCCTTGACCTTCAGCTGGCCACTGGTGTACAATGATGGGAAGGGATGGATGTTAAAGTGTAGATATCATCAATTTTACTAGGCTGAATTCCATCACACTCAGGCTTTGCATGATCCTGGGATAGCAGAAGAGTCAGTGGGACTACTAGGGGAAGAGGCTGTCCACACTACTGGCTTGACTCTGAAATTGGGGTGAGACACAAAACATTTTTGATTTATTCTTTTTTAACTTTAATTTCATTATTTTATTTTATTTATTTTGTAATTTATCTATCCTTTTTGAATAAAAAATACCTTTCACACTCTCATTAAAATATTGAAGATGAAAGACAGGCCTAGATGTTTTTTTTTTTTCTTTTGAAAAGAAAGATAAATTAATTAGTGTAATAAAAATATTTGGCTTTGTAAGATCTATTTTCTCTTAGGAACTTAAAAAGGCATTATAAAAACATTGCAGAAATGAAAAATAAATCAAAAGATTCCCATGATGATAGTTCTGCTAAATGTTTTGAGAAAGTTTATATTTTCTTGATTTGCCACCTTATTTCATGTAGAAATATTTAAAATTATTTAAAATTCTTTTTCTTTTTGAATACTTTGCATCTCCTCTTTTCCTCTTCCTCCTCCTCCAGCTTCAGGTGGCTTTTTCCCCTGTTTGGTTTGCTTTTGAACAATGTTTTTGATTCTGAACAAGCAAAATTTATGTCACATACAACTTTGTTTGTAACTGAGAAACTAATATTGACATCATAAAAAAATGTATAAATCCTTGTAAATTTACTATTCACCATAAAAGATAATGATATTTAGTAACTGTTTTTAAAATACATAAATTTTCAACTTATTCCACAGATGTTGATTTGGAACATAACATTTTTTACTCTCTTTCAAGTTTAGAATATCTTATTGTATTTTTGTGTCATTATAATCTGAGTAAAAAAAAAAAAAAATGTTTGACATTGAAAATCTTTGTCTAAGAAACCTGCTGCCCAAATATAAACCTTCCAGCAATGTGTAAATGCTCCACATCTGTAACTCCTACAAACTGTTTGCATATAATAATACTTATGAAGACATATGTGCAGAGAAAAAAAGCATTTGTTGGGCTGAGAGATGCTTAAGATTGTCTTTATGAATTTCACAACAAATTTGTACCAGAATTTAATGCATTGAATTTCTATACTATTCTTTTAGCTGGAAGGTCTTAAATTTTCCAAAATTAATTCTTTTGTAGACTGCAAAATGTGTTTATTCATAAAGTCTTTACAAAATGCATGAGCAAAATTCTATTTTCTTGTGTAAGCACAATATAGTCTAATGGCTCAGACCCCCCCACAGTATCTTACCAAATGATTTCTAGTTATTGATAATTTGTTCATTTAGTGATCACTTTAACCTCCACTCCAACATTCACTTCCTCCTAGAAACTATGCTACAACTACTGTTCCTCATGAAATAAAGTGAGATAAAAAAAGAACATTTTCTGCAGCTGATGTCATCTATAGTGTGGAATTGGAGTCTGAAGAATTAAAGCCAGAAAGGACACACAATGCAAGTCACTTAAGGTATGAAGGAATACTGAATTGCACTCATAGTTCTCATGGATATGTTGGGAAGTGTCAAAACATATCTGATGATAATGCAGTTGAAAAATTATATATTTGTTAGTGAACAATATGTTTAACTGCATCAGTAAAATAAATTATTTCTCCTCCTTAGACTGCTTTAGGAGGAGGATATTTAATTACCAAATTTTTGAAAGGTTGGATAGAGGGTGGATGATGTTCAAATGATAACTCTTAGGGAGATATGGTTCAAATGGTTCTTCTTGGAAGGAGAATTGAAAGTGACCCTTTAGTGCTGATGCTCTTAAAAAAGACAATAATTCACCTTTTATGTAATTTTGCTCCTGGTATATCTTGATATAACTTTGATAAGAAACTAATGACAGTATCTTCCTTCAATAAAATCCATTTTTGTGGATTAGATTAATTATATGGTTTGGTCTTACTCAAAAATAATGTTACAATGTGAATTGAGCTTTAATTATAGATATTAAGAATTAACACACACACACATTGTGAATTTTAATCTTATGTAAATATATAAATTTTAAAATGTTTTTTATTTATTCAATTTGTTACTTTTTTTGAAAGAGCTATTTACAAGTTTATATTAAAAATATAAACTTGTAAATAGCTCTTTCAGGTTTAAATTATTTTGAACAGAAATATATATTTGCTTATTTTGTTCTTTTAATAAAGAACATGATTTGTATTTAGCTTTTTAATTTTTTTAAAACTTTTACAAATATAAATTGAAAGTTATTTTATGTTTTGCTATTCTTTTTTTCTCCTCCCCATTTTACTGTCCAAATATTCATTGACATTTTATTTATTTCTACTGAATATTTTATATGTGGCAGTAAATAACATAAGTGAAATTTAGAAAATAACAAAACAAAAAATATAATTCTACCAGAATTTTCTCTTTTTGTATTTAATTTTAGTAGTGAACATATAATTTTAACATTGGAGTTTGCATGAAATACAATTAAGCATTCAAATTTGATTTGTGTGGCTCCTGTTGAAATTCAGAAAGCACAATGATTTACCACAACAATCTGAAGGACAGAAAGAACAGTTTTATTTATTTTTAATAAGCTCAATTAATACATCCATTTTTCTCTAGATGTCACATTTAGACTTTTGAAATGCCGGAGATTTTTTTTTAATTTGCATATAGGATATATATGATATTTTAAAAATATCCAATAATAATTACATGATGGGATAATTTGATAATTTATACAAAACAGTTTATAATCTGAATTAAAAAGAATGTAAGTTATATTTATTTGATGTTGCAATTAAGCAATGCTTTAAAAATTACTCTGGTTTGTTTTTTATATACATATGTTTTGCTAGTAGTTTTTGTTTTCATTTTCCTTCTCAGTCTTAATATTTATGTTGAGATTTATATATGATATATATGCATGTGTTATATATATATATATATATATATATGCGAAAATGAAAAAAAAACACTGTAAATTAATTCTATTGTTTTAATATTATTGCCAAAACAGAAATATACAAATAGTTAATAAATTGCTTTCATGTAATTAACCATTATTATCTAAAAAATCTTTAAAAAGAAAAGTAAATTATGGTTATTATTTTAAACTTATTAATGCTGTAAATTATAAAAAGGGAATGAAATGTGGATGTTTTCTATTTTTAATCTTTGAATAATTGATATTTTTTTATATAGATGGTAAAATTTGAAACAAAAAAATTAATTTTAGTTTTTATCCTTTTTAAGATTTAAGGAAAGAATAAGAAAAATAAGTAGTTTTTTAATTACTGTTAATTTCTCTAAAATTATTTGAACTTAAATTATAATTCCACTTTTTCCTCTTTCAGTCCAATTAAAAACATATCCTGAGTTTTTAGTGTTATAGGAAGAGTAGAAGTTTAAAATGCTCTTGTAAAGCCTTTATCTTGTAGGACTGCAAATATGGTATGTTTTCAGCTTGAAATTTATTTGCATTGTTTTTTTTTTATTTTTTCAAGAACCAATCATAGTTTCTGTGTGGTAGTCAAAATTCCTTTGTTTATATCCTGCATATGCACATATATTAATATAAAAAATAAATTAAAAATCACATTCTTTTTGTGTGGCCTCATTCCCAATAACCATTACACATGACATCACCATAAACTATTTTAAAGTTCCCGGTTTCCAAAGAGTACCAAGATGTAGACAAAAGAATTCTACCACATTTGTTCTTGAAAATGAGTGAGAGAAATTACTTGAACAAAACAATAGCACAATATGATCTGGGCACAGTTTATCCACAATTTTGAACACAATACTCAACACCTTATTTGAAAACTGGAAAAATACTATAAAATTTAAACAGACAAACCTTATTAGTTCTTTTTAATTGAACTTGTTTGGATAAATATTTGCTGCCTAATGATACCTTTATTTATTTATTTATTATATATATATATATATATATATATATATATATATATATATATACACTATTGCTTTGCACTTTTTTTACTTTTGATTTTATCTTGGTAGATTTTAATCTGTCCTTAAGGAACCAAAAGTAGCATTATTATTATTGTTATGGGTTTATATCTTTGAGTATGACAGGTGTTCTTCCTAGTTTATACATTACATTATTTATCACAGTAACAACCATCTTGATATTTCAAGTTGATGGTTGTTTCAGCTTTTATCAGGGAAACTGCATTTTTATATTATGAATACATTCTTACTATTTGAGTCTAAGTCTCACGATGACAAAAATTTGTTATTTTAATCTCCCCTGAAAAATTAATTTTGTTTGAACACTCTGGAAGAAAAGCAGTAATTTGTAAACAGTAACTATTACTGCTTTCAGTCACTGGCATGTTTATTCAAAGAATGACTAATGTAAAAATTCGCCTTCCTCTACTGGGCACTGATAGTTCAAGAGTAAAATCTCCGACTGATGCCAAATCAATTGAGTTTCAATCCCGGCTCAAGGCAATCGGATGTCTAGCCACACCGATGAGCTGTGATACAGCAAACTAGTCTGTCTGTGGATGGCTATATATATATATATATATATATATATATATATATATATATATACACATGCAATTTATTATATATTATTTATATATTATATATCGTGGTACTTATTGGAAAGCGCTCAATATCAGTGATAGAGCTAACATATTTAGTTAGAGTGATGTGAGTTTTTGACCCTGGGTTTCATGCTTTTGTCATCGTCAGACAATAGCAAAAGCATGAAACCCAGGGTCACAAACTCACATCAATCCAACTTAATATATATATATATATATATATATATATATATATATATATATATATGTTATGTTTATTCTTTTGTGCTTTGTGTATATTTTTTTTCCCCTTGTGTGACTATATTTGATCATTTGGTGAAATGGCCTGATCTTGATTAATTAATAATAGCTGAAGCTTGCAGAAATAACAAAAACTTTGGAAAATTAGATTGGTTGCTAGAGTGTATTTTATTAATAATTTATTTCCAGCATAATATGTCACTAAGTACACAGTATTTAGGTTATATCATTTTGATTTCATAGTGTAAAAATACAACACTTAATGGAAAGT